AAGGTAATTTCGTAGAGCAAAAGTATGAATGAGGTAGTTAAATATGATAAGGAGGAATTTCTTTTGTAACATGTGATATAGAAAATAAACCTTTTCCTTATATAAATAAGCAAATAAGAATAACAATCATATATTTCATTATGATACTCAACCATGTATATATAATCTGGTGACTTGATGGAGATAAACGGATATGTAAAAGGATTGCATTCTAAAAATATTTTCTGCCATCTCAATCTAAATGTAGGTATACAAACACAAAATACAAAGAATGGTCTAAATATATTTTCCCCTTGTAAAAATGGGTATTATAATACTACTTAGCTTACAGGGTTACTGTAAGTCAAAAATGGATAAAACATCTGTGATACGCTTAGCGCAGTATAGTTGACCCTCGAACAAACACAGATTTGCAATATGTAGGTCCACTAATAAATGGATGTTTTCAGTACATACATTGGAAAATGTTCTGGGGATTTGTGACAAATTGAAAAGCATTTTCTTTTCTCTAGGTCACTTTATTATAAAAGTACAGTATATAACACATGTAACAGACAAAATATGCGTTAATTAACTGTTTATGTTATCAGTAAGGCTTTTCTAGGGAGTCAAAAGTTTTCAGGGATTTTCAGCTGTGCAGGGGATTAGCTCCCCAACTCCATCTGTTGTTGAAGGATCAGCAGTATTTGAGGCAGAACAAACATTCAACAAATGCCTTTTAAATTTGATTTCCCATTTAATAAATGACCTGTCAGATTAATGTTTCTCCACTAAAACTTAGTTTTCTGTTTGTTTCAACATGCATTTTGTTTTCATTTTGTGGCAAAAACTTCCAAGGCTGATTCTCAACAGCCACTCAGAATATTGGAAAAGCCAATAGGTTTAGAGTTGTGTTTAGTGTTGACAAATGTTTTTGAGCAACTGCTATGCATCAAGCATAGCAGTGTTTTAGTTCCCAGAGGCATGTTGCCTTAAGACACAATTCCTTGCCTGGAAAGGGTTCCCTTCCTGCCCGGAGACAACCGTTGAACAGGTGGCCCAGTAGAGGGTGAAGCGGAATAGTGCTGACAAGCTGGGCACCGTGCTGCCCGGGTCGGTCACCTGACCTGGCTGGAGAGGAGGCAGGCGCAGACCAGGGGAGACGTCCTGGATGAGGGCTGACTCTCATCCTGAAGCAGTGTGGGGTGGCTAGGAGGAGAGGGGAGAACTAAAGAGCACCTGGGTCAAGTGCAGAGGTATATGGCTGTGTTCCAGCTGCTTTACATGGAACTCCTAGTTTCTGTGCAGGCCATTCAATCCTTCGAATGTATTTCCTCACTGAAAATTGAGAACACTAAAACACATAAGCCATGTCTTTCCTGATGAATTTCTTGGAGGGGGGGAATCTGGTGTAAGTACTATGGATAAGAGAATTTTTATATCTTAGAGTCCCGTGAGAATAGTAGATATAACATAAGTATGCTTAATGTTTATTGTGGTCCACTAATTATTCATCAGTGAATTTTCTTATTGAATCGCTGAAGAAATATTTAAGGGTTCCTGAGTTCTCACTTGATTCTGGCTATTCATTTCAGTATTAACTTATTTGATCTCTACAACCACTCTATGAACAGACTCTAATGGCCCAAGTCCACACAGCTAATAATGAGATAAGACCGTGATTTAAATCTACTAGTTTGACTGCACAGCCTGAAAGCTTAACTCCTAAGTTTACCAGATCACAATATCATGCCACCTTTATCTATTATTTCTTACACAATTTGTCTCATGCCCAGGATGGAGGCATAAATGAAATGGTTACTGCCTTCAAGGACACCCTCACTGTCTTCTGGACACCTAGGAAGTATGATGCGTAGGACAAGGGAATGGTTGGTATTATCAGATATGAAAGAGGGATATCTGGCTTAGACCAGGGACATGAAAAGTCCTACTTGAGGAAGTGATACAGGACTGAAGTGTGAAAGATATTCTGACAGAATCAGGCAAAGAAATTAGGAAGGACATTTCAGGCAGGAAGCCTAAGGATAAACTGCCTGGCCATTCATTCTTGTTTGTCTGGGACAGTCCCATTTTACAATTATTAATAACACTCACTTTAACTCTCAGAAGTCCTGGTTTGGGCGATCAATTATGTAGCTACCCTACCTAAGGGCAGGGACACAGAGTTGTGAGCAAACAGCATATTTGGGAAATGCAAGTGATTTATCATGGTGAGAATTCAGGATATGAGGTGGGAATTGTAAAAGATGAGAGAGTCTTGGAATAAAGCATGAAGGGCCTTCTCCTCAGGCGAAGGGAGTTTATGTTTCATTTTAAAGGTGATGGGAAGTCACTAAAGGGTTTTAAGCAAATGCAGTGTGTTCAACTATACTTTGAAAGATTCACTGTGGCTTTATTGAAGAGAATGCATTGCTATGAGGCGAGATTAAGAAAAAACAGAACCCTTCATTTATTGCATATTTACCAAGTCCCTGCTATGTGCTGGCATCATTCTAGATTCTTAGGATACCTCAGTGAACAAATTAGATAAGATTCCTCTCCTCATGGTGTTATCATTTTAGTAAGGAAACAAAAACAACATAATAAATGAGTAAATATAAAGCGGTGTGAGAGGGATTTGGATTATGCTGTAATTTTAAATAAAGTGATCAGAGAAGGATTCCAATTTCATAACTGAGCAAAGACATGAACACATCATTGCTGACCATTGAGCTATTTAAGAGGTGTCCCCTCTGGAAGGAATAGCTGGTGCAAAGATCCTGAGGTGAGAGTGTGGCTGGGAATTACAAAGAACATTAAGGTGGCTGGTGTAGATGGGAGAGCAAATGGTTAAAGGATGTAGGAGGTACTGGGGACAACAGCATTTAGGATGTTGCAAACGGTTTTAAGACAATTGAGCTTTACTCAGTCAGAGTGACATGGGGAGCCACCGCAAACCTTTGATCAGGGAACGATACGCTATTACTTAACTTTTATAAAGAATGCTCTAGCCGACACTGTATTGAGAACAAACTACAGGAGCTAAGGAGTGGAGAGTGAAAGACCAGTGGGGGCGCTCCTACAGGAACCCAGGCCAGAGATGTTGGTCTGTACGTAAAGGCATCCAGACAAAAGGAAAAAATGAAAGAAAAACAAAACAAAACAGATTGTGATCCTACTATCAGTCAAGGTAGAATTGAGGCCGAAATGAATGGAGAAAGAGAATGAAGACACTTTATAAGGCGAAAGGCCATACACTACAATGTGGCTATCTGTTGATTTTGAAGATTTGTGGGCCAAATAAAAAAGAATACTCCCTAAAAGCAGATGCTACAGGAAACAGTGATAAATTGACAGAATATATTAATCATAGATTTTAGTTATTCCTAGTTCAAGATAGGTCAAGTGCACAACACTATGAAATGTTCGGGGAAAGTTTTAAAAACTGCCTCAAAATGCAAAAGCCATGAAAAAATGGCTGACAAATTTAATTATATATCTTAAGTGTTTATATTGTGCCAACAAACATAAGCAAAGTCAAAAGAAAGTTGGCAAACTAGGAGAATATATTTGCTTCAAAGATCACAATGCGGTCATCTCGCCAGCATAAAAAGAACCCTTATAATCTGATGGCAAAAAGAATTCAAAAAACTGATTTAAAAACATGGGCAAAATCCATGAGTAAAGAATTCACCAGAACAGGTATGAAATCAGCCTTTAAACTTATGAAAATTCTGGATTCTACTCATAATAAGAAAAATAAAGCATAAACTACACTGGGCTATTACTTCTCAGCTATGATATTGACAAAAATTAACTGGTGTCAGATACCACCGTATAAAATTGCGATTGTTTGGCAGTTCGCAGATCCAGCCATTGATGATTGCGAGGGACCTGATTGGAGGACTGTACCGTGTGCCCCCCCCAGGGGGTGGAGTAATATTCCCCCATTAGTGCATTAGAGCAGTGTGAGGAGTACCCGGGAGCGGGCTCAGAGCCAGATCTTCCTGGCTCAGCTCTGATTTCCGCAGTAGCCATGGTGGACGGCTCTGGGCAAGTCAGGCTTGTCTAGAACTGCCAGCGGCCACGTCAGGAACAGGATTTTACTACTTCCAGCCTTTCCCCAAGACCGTGGGAGTCCACTTGGCCCACATGTGTTTCGATCTGGGGACTCTGAAGTTAATCCTCTTGGGGATGCCCTCAGCCAGTGGGACATGACCCTGGTGGATTATTTAGTCTTTCAAGTGGACAGTTCTGCAAAGCACACTACATGTCAGGAGATTTGGCAGAATCCCCCCCTGCTGCCCACGGCAGGAAAACTGAAAATGCTCTCTGGTATCACATATGCATCCTTCTCTGACCCCCCTTCCCAGCTCCTCACCTCTGCTTCCTGGGATCATCTCCAAATACACTGTGAATCCTACATCCTTCTTCCCCCAAGACACTCTGTAATACGTTGATCTCTTAATCAATGTATTTTTTCTTTGGGAAAAATCTCTTTTTGTCCATACAATGAAATTAATTCTTTCAACAGCTGGTGTCCATCTTCCTCATAACCATGGGCATTTCAAATGTAAGAAAAAAGGATTTGTGTTCCACTTGGTGATGACAAATGTATTCTTTGCTTTCAGTAGAAATAATTGTATTGTCCTCAGCTGTAATTCACAGTGCTATTTTCTAACTTGAAATGACTATTAACATTTACGCGCTCCAGTTTCAAATTCTCAGGCCATTATCTTATCAGTTCCAAAACATATATTTCCTTAGAAACCCACTGTCATCATTTCACCCATGGATAATATCGAGCTAGCTATTGCCTATTCCTAGTCCACAAGCTTTTCATCCTTCTAAGTTCTTCTCTTTGTATCAGGAGTAAGAGCGGCAGAAACATTCCCCAGACTCTTTCAGCAGTAGATGCCTGGTTTATATTCTGCTAATGAAAAGCTGCTCCTTACGATGTGAGAGGGAGTAGCAGAAAGGAATCGAACAACTGCTGCATCAGTGCCAGGCATGTGCATTTTGGCAGAAGGCACACGAGCTTGTGCCACAAGAAACTGGGGCTCCCAGATAGCCTCCCACAAACCAGCGACTGTGAGGATATAGGCAGCTGAGATCATTGACAGGTATTGTCTATAATTCTCTCATTTCTGCACTGCTGGGAAGTCGGTGGCCCTTTACCCTGACTTTCACTTCCTAAGCCTTTCAAATTCCCTAGTTTTCCTTCCTGTTTGAAATTCCTAGAATGTATTTGATTTTCCTGAAAAATTTTGAATTGTTAGTAAAGTCATTTAAGAAACATTTAAGATATAGGATATTTTACCTTGTTTTGTTATTATGGCTATTCTTGGAATCGTCTTATTTATACAATATTTGGATTTCTTACCCAATTTAATGATTTTTCTATTATTCCTCAGGTTATTTTCTAGCCCAGGGCTCTGCAAACTACTGTCTGTTCATATGGCTGTGCTCATCCAGGCATGCATTGTTTACAGCTACACTTAAATTGCAATGTCAGAGTTGTGTAGTTGTGACACAGACTATATGGAGTACCAAACTGAATATATTTACCAGTGAGACCTTTATACAGTAAAAGTGTGCTGTCAGTGTTCTAGACCACTCAACTCTTGTTAATATGCTGTGCATCCTTGTATAGTATAAGAGATTAATTTGGTTATCTTTATTGTAACATTCTTGTGGCAAACTTAATAATGAAATCCCACTGCCCTACAAGTCATAGAAATTTGAAGTTGTATGTATCAGGAATGGAATATGTCAGAAGGTAGGAGGCTTTGAAAAGGTATTTTAAGGAAGATGACCTCATGTATGTAATGATGATACCAGTTAAGACTTGCTGAGTAATTCAGATGTCCAGGCACTGTGCTGAACACTTTACAAGCATTAAGTCATATAATCCTTCCATCACTGCGACTCAGCTGCCATTTTACCCAGGACAAGGGAAAAGAATGATTATGTTTCCCAAGGTCACACAGCTAGTTAGTAGCTGACAGTGAACTCAAGTCTGACTCCAGACTGTGCAGTGTGCCTGTTGCATATTTTTATGAGGGAGATATTCACATGCTGTATGATACTTGAGATCATTTCACACTGAAGTAGGAAATGAAATTTAATTCCTGTCACTGTTGGTTAGGCTGCTCACATCCCTCATATTCTCTGTGTAGTAACAGCAGCTCAAAGACACACTCCCATGACATTTCTAAAAAGGAAGGCTTGCTGTGGTCCCAGGAAGCAGCTGGAAAGTGCATTTCCTGTCCTGCCGGGGCCCTAGGTGGGCATTCCTTCTGACTAGGCTCTACTCATCACATGCCAGGGTAATGGTGTTGGACAAGTTCATGTGTCTAATTAAAGGCGTGCCACCAATCTGCCGAAAATGTCAAATTCTGGCTGAAGGTACTGGGCACTCAGATAGTGCAATTTTCTATGCTGATAAAAACTTGGCGTCTTTTCCTTGAAATTGGAAAAGTAATTTCTATCCATGACCCCTGAGATCATTTGAAATGAAATTCAGAAAAACAGGGAGCAATTTGGCAGCCTTAAATTCTTGGCGGGAGAGTACTCCTTTCTCAGGATTTAGGTTTTTCCCTAGGGGGCATAATATTAGGCTGAATAACATCAAATTTGAGTGATATCACAGCTTTGGAATACTTACATGGACTTGCAAGTTTTTCTACTTTTATTATCAACTTCTCAGTGCATGAGGGCATTAGTGATGCATTTTGAAAATGGGTTACATACATCACCAACTTGGTAACTTTCAAGGTGGTCATCCTATACTGAACACAGACCAGCATTTACACTGTGAAGGAATGTTGCTGTGTATATCAACTGATTTTTTTAACAATTGATGAATGAGAAAGTAATACAGCTGAGCCAAATCTTAGGAAACTGTAGCTACAGGGAACCATTTTGAGAAAACTAGTCAATCAATAACATATTGCTAATAAAATTTATTCCTGTTAATGGAATTCTTTATAAGTACCTGTGCCGTTTTTTACCAGAACTTTTGGAGATATGCATGATTTTTCTCAGTGAACAGACACAGAAATCCTTTCTACTTAGTAAGATTATTAAACTGCCAGTGTTTAGGGCCGTGAGCTCTAACTCTGTATAGCAGTTGTCATGCAGGAGCTGTTAATGATATGAAATCCCTACATTATTCCACCAACTAATTATTTTAAACTGAATCTTACAGTTTCAGATTCTTTCCACTCCTGGTGAGAAGATGCACACTTGATTTGTTCTCATTAGAATCATGCACAGCATAGGAAAAGTGTCAAAATTCCAAAAGATAAATTTCACTTGATTGGATAGAAAGTCATTCTTCTTAATTATTTCTGACACCTCCTGCATTATGCTATGAGTATCTCAAGAGAAAAGAGAGAGCTCATCTCCTTTAAGAGCAGTTTATTGAGAGTGACATGCTATTGTCATTATCTGAGAAATCTAAAAGCCTACTTGGATAATCTAGGAAAATAATGAAAAACACAGCCTAAATGGTATTCAGCTGTGCAAAGCAGGATACCATGTCAACTATTTGTGGTTAATAAAACATTTTTTCTTTAAAGCATGTAAAGTACAAGATTGTATTCAACAACTGTATTTCTGAATGACCTGTGAAATCTAACTTGCACATTGTCAAATTTAAAATAGGAAGAGGTTTTCAAGCAATCACATTTACATGGGAGGTAACTGTATGTGTGTTACGGTTAAGACTTGACATCCATTGATCTCAGGGTAGGAAACTATTCAGTTGCCTCCAATGATGTTTTTAGCAAACTCATGAGTTTGAAATGACACAGCTAGGATGGCACATGGGCAGGCAGTTACCATCACAACTGCTACTCAAGGGTCTCTGTCACTGGGGATATACAGCAAAACATGACTAAGAGAAGGTGATTGTGAAGACACCAGTGATTAACATTTTCGTTAGTGACTAGGACAGATGAGATTTGAAAGTCATCCAAAGATCTGTGAAGAAGGCTGAAGAAAAGACAGGATCAGCAGTGGATGTGAGCGTTGAAAGTCTTCACGGTGACCCGAAGCGAATGGACTGGAGGAGCTGAAAGATGCACCCAGGTTAGACACTGCATCCGAGCCAGACAAAAAGCATCAGAAACAGAGACTTGGAGGAAGGTTAGTTATATTTTATATTACATATAACATAAATGTAAATTGAGCAAGACGTGCAAATGCAACTGTTTTGGAACGAAGAGAGTTCTGAGGACTGAGACAGTGCTGATTTCTGCACATGACGCCTCTGGGGCTTACACTCATTCCCACTCTTCCTTCTATTTAATTCATCATGCTTGACCAAGAATAATTGTCCCGAATTGTCCCAGACGGTCTTAGTTGTACTCTAGACTACTTCTGAAGCCTTTAGTATCAGTCAGTCACTACATGAATGCCTTATTCACATTTTTTTGTTTGATCTTAGGACTCCACATGCCTGCTTTCAAACACTTCTGAAATGTGACTGCTCATTACCCAGTCGAGTGTATCACCTTCTGCTCCAACCAATGCCGATCAAGTCATAGGTGCCTCCTCCCTGTCCCTTTGCACTGCTGAATTGGGAACTTTTTTCCAAACCACACATGAGTACCATGTACCGTGGCTTTTCCTCCCACAGTCCTAGTACCTCCCACCCTACAAGAATCAGCTTAGCCTTTGTTTCCTTAAGAAATACTACATCAATCAACTCAGTCCACATGAGGACCATACAACTGAAGAATTACTGAATTCCAGAAATGGACGGAACCTTCAGGAACACTTAGCAACAATCCTGTCACTAGGCAGACATGGAAATGAAACCTAAGTATAAGGTAAGGTGGACTCAACCAGTTAGTAGTAGATTGCCCTTTCCTCTTCCATCGTTTCAGATGATTTTTATTAATCAATACAGGAAATTGCATTGTCTTTTAAAGAGAGAGGCACTGGACACAAGTCTGTGCTGGAAACCAAATATGCTAATTATTGGTTTTGTGATGTTATAAATGTTAGCTTTAGCCTTTTTCTATCTTTAAAATGACAACAATAATAAGTGCTCTAAAATGTTATTGTAAAGATTCAATGAAAAAATGACATAATTTCTCTATCACACTGCCTGCAAACAGCAGGTGTTCAGTGTACATTACGTAACTAACTGATTTATGAATGTGCGCATGCTTTACTCCCCTAACTTGTGTACTCTCTTGCAAGGTCTCAAGAGTATTTTTACTTTTCTTATTGTATTACTTTCACCAACTAACCCAATAATAACATATTAAACATTTTGTACATTTTTTCAATAAGTTTAACTCCCCTTTTTATGTTTCTTCATATAGTTCTCTTCCTCAAATTCTGTTCACAGGGCATAGAGAACCTGTGATATTGAAAGAGAGCTACACTTAGCAGCTGAATACTCATCCCTGAAAGGACAGGTCAAAAGATTTCACCTCCTGGACAAAATGTATGTGAATGTCAGGCATTCATTTACTAATTTTTGCCGAGAATTTGAAGTACTCTTATATTCTTACTTGTTTTTAACTCTTCAGTGGCAGGGATCCTGTGCAGCTGGACTAACATTCCTAATGGATTGATGGCAACTTTCCAACATGGTGATAATATGGGGAGAGGTACTATAAAAATATTCCGATAACATAATTATACCAAATTTCTGTGACTGACTAATTTTGCACAGTGCTTCCTTCAGTAGTTTTGTTACTTTGAATGTAGTAAAAGTGGATTTGAGAATGGAATTAATTACATAAACACTCAATACTCACAAAATCTCTGATTCTATAGCCTCATATCACAAAACTGATATAATACCCTCAGAGGAATACTCTGTAAAGACCATAGAGATATTAATAGTCTGTTAGAAAAACTTGCAAATAGCTGTAATCCTGTGTTTGGAAATGGCATCAATACCTCATGAATATTAATATAAAGGAAGTTCCAAAATCAATAAATAAAATGTTTGATATTTTCTATGTTTCAGTGTCTACAAATGGCTGCTTGGATGTTTTCATATGTGGTCCTAAGACTGTATTGAGACAGCAAACACCCTGATATGCCTTCTTTAAATGTAGGCACTGAATACAGTGAAGCACCCACATTTCAAACCAAGGGTCCAGAGAAAACAAAGTCACGTTGAATATTGTCTCACGACGTCATAGAGGCGGCCTGAAGGCCTCCTTTATCGCCTCCTCCTAAACATTCGGCCTCTTGATACCAACTGAACTGTTTTCTTGAGGTTAAGAGTTTGTGGCAGACATTTCAAAAGTCATGAAGTCCATGGCTCATCCAGTTAGGAGGAGATTGCCTTTTCCTCTTCCATCGTTTCAGGTGATTTTTATTAATTAATACAGGAAATTGCATTGTATTCTGTACCTTCCTTTCACTTTTTAATGCACAATATGTCTAGGATGTTACCTAATGTCCGAAGTTCTTTCCACCCTTAATATTTCTTAAATCTGGGAATCAGGCCTAGGGTTTAAAAAGTCTACATCTTAAGAATCTGGGTAAATGTTCCCAAAACTGCCTTAGCAGAGCAGGGGGGAGAAAACGGGAGGCAGTGTCTAGAGTCAGGCATCATGAGATGCTTTGATGTCCCTGGGCAACTGTCACCCTCATTTCCCTGGGAGCCACCTGCCCGGAAGGGCGACTCACTCCAGCCCAGAGGAGCTGGGAGCTTTGCCAGCGGCCCTTTCCAGATGCCAGGCAGCAGTCTGTGCATTAACCCCATCACTTCTTAAATTTTTAATGTTTCAATGGAGAAAACTTCAGGCTCCAGGTCAGATAGTTCTACCAACCGCCACAGCAGGTGACTTTGTAGTATAGTAATAGCTTCAAGGTGATTTGAAGTCAAGAAAAACAAAAAAAACATGGTCAAACATTGCTTTTTTTGTTCAGAGAATATTTTCTTCCCTTATGGGTTGTCTAACCACATCTATCCTTTCAAATATTATGGATAGTTACAGGCTGTGAAAGTCTTTTGTGATAGGTTCTCAGTGATTCCAAATATTCTAGATACCCCTGTTGGCCTTTACTTTCACAATGGTGAAGGAATTGTCAGTAAAGATGTATGCCCTTAATGAGAAAAGGATCAGAGCCCTACTGAGAAACTCCAGAGAAGAGACCTGACCCTTACAATCCATTAAGTCCAGATGTCCTTTCTCAGGCCAAGCACCTTGCTGCAAACTCTATCCTCAGCCCTGCTTCCTGGAAAGAGCTCTCACTCTCCATCACCATCAAGAGCCTCTTCACTATTTATAGGCTCTAGTCTCTGCCCCTGGCTCTCACACTCATGTCTCTGGGTTTACTGAGCGAGTTCCTTTACCCTTTTGTCCTAGGACCCATTTTTTTCAGTTGTTAATCATTTTTATTGCTCCTTTTTGGTTTCTTTCCAAATTCTCTGTATCATGACTCAGTTAAGGATGTCAAATGAAACCCACTATGCTAATAAATATTTGACCAGTGCTGGAGTCAAGAAGAAAATGTCCTTGGTGATTTATACATATACCACTTGCCTGAAGTCTTCCTCGGCTAAAGATTAAAGATTGTGGAACTTTGAGACCTTGAGGTTTGGCCTTAAAATGGCAAAACCAAGGTATGGGAGCTGTAGTAAAACCTGGAATGGAAAACAGATTCAAATTATGTAGGAGCCTTAGCACTGAGTATAACAGACAAAGGAAAATGCCCTAAAGACAAAATCAGAGGTAAAATGAGAAACTAAGTATCAAGAATGAGGAAGAAAGTGGAATTCAATGGGAGACGTGTTGCAGATGGAGTGATGTGTTCTTCACGAATGGAATGGAATGCCAAAAGGAAGCTAAGGGTCCCATATTCACCATGACTGGTCATTGCCCATTTAGGGGGCATAGGCGGAGTGAATCCAATGTGTACTTGAGACAGATGTTCTTTCTGTTTCCGTAGTAGCTTCTAGAATATTCAGCCATTTTATCAGTTATTAAAATATATTTAACATTGATGTCCTTATAATTATTCAAAATAAATCTGCATAGTAACATTTTGAACCATGTGAAGCAAACCCTCAATCCCCCAAATCTCTCCCAAAGAGCCATTCACTTTGAGATTTTACCAAAGTAGAGATGTTCTTGTACGAAGCTGAAATAAACAAAATGGTGTATCTCTTCTTGCCGATCACAAACACGAGTTGGAATTTTTGTTTCATTCACTCTTCTGTGTCCAGTGCCTTGGACTCTACGGCAGCTCAGCTCAGTGACAGTGAGGCAGCCAAATGAATGAATGAACAGCTCTCCTCTGGGGTCCTGCTCGGTGAGTGGTGATGCTTTATCACCAAGTTAAAAATGCAAGACTCAGCCTTGACAGCCCTTCTTCCTTTCTTCTCATGCAGTCTTGCCCCATGTGCAGACCACCAACACTCCCGTCCGACCCTGCCTCTCCCTTTCTTACATGTTGGACTTATTTTGTGCCCTTTTTAACACACGTGATTTGTTGAAATTGGTTTATTAGAATTCCCTTCTCTCGCTGCAGACAATTTTGCAAAATGCTGTTAGAATAATCAGAGTAATGTTTCTAAAATACAAGCATGATTGTAGCATATCCCAACTTAACAGTGTCCTCACATTTGATGTGTGGAAAAGCCCGCGTGCTGGCCCAGGGGCTCCTTGCTCCATCTCACGCTCACGTTCCACTTCCTTCCTCTGATCCTGTTTCCCACCCTCAATGCTCTAACGGTACCAATGGCTCTGCAGTCACTAAACATCAGTGTGCTTTTGCATCCATGCTATTTTTATCCATCTAAAAGTCCTATACTTCTTTCTTCCATTTTCTCTAACTTCTCCTATTCGATTTACATCTGAATCTTTTCCTTAGTCCCAGCTAACTCTGTTGAGCACACGTCTCTGCTCACAGATTTCTATTCATTTGTATTTCTTAGAACGTACACTCCCTCTAGCATTTTCTCATATTCTGATTAACAGCTCTTCTGAGTGTCCTTTTGTGGTTCCATCTATTCTGATAGTTCATCTGTGAAGACATTACATGCTGATGGGTCACAGGGCCTGGATCTACACCCTGATTTCACTTAAGCCTCTATTTCCTTTGTGGCAGATCTAATCCAAAGTGTGACTTCAACTTCCTTGGTTTTGTTTTTATTTTTTGTTCTGCTGAGATCTTGCTAAATTACATTTGCTACTCAGACATCCTCCGGAGCTTTCAACTTGAAATATGCTCCTTGATAGCTCCCAGGCACCTTAGACAAAACACATGTAAACACTTATTCATTTAACCTGTTTTTCCTCCGCCTTTCAATCTTTTAGAAATGCAGCCACAGCCTCACAATCGCTCAAGCAAGAAACCCAGACGCTCCTTCTCCCTCACTGGCTCTTCTAACATTTGTCTGTGTCCAGGGCCACCACCCCTGCTCAAAGCATCAGCATCTCACTCTCTCACCTGGAATTTCAATACCACCTCCCCCAGAGCCCCAGCTGTGTTCTGACAATACACGTCTGATGTGTCCCTTCACTTCTTAAATCCTTCTATGTTTTTCCATTTCTCTTAGGTTAAAAGAAAAACATGAACATGGATTATGGGACTCACCTCAAATATTTCACCACCCAGAGCCGCCTTTTATTTCTTTCTCTTTCCACCTGGAACTTCTTTCAGTTTTCATGATAGTCATAATGCCATAAAATTATATTCTTTAGACCAATCTTGCAGTAATTGTTCATATGTAAGTTTCCCAATTGTAAGCTTATTAAAAACAGGATATGTTTAACATTATATATGGTATTTATTAAATGTTCAGTAAATATTTGTT